GTGATCAGGAAGAGCACGAAAAGCTACTGTTCCGAATGTCAACCAAAGAGAAGTTGAGAATATGATAGCTTGATATAAAGATGTACAGTAACTCAATGTATTGAAGAGCTTGAGCTGGAGTTCCACCGTTCTCTGTTTGCTTCTGGTACTGTATCCATCGGTATGAGCAATTTCATTTTTGATTTTAGATTTCTTTTGTTGTTTGTCAATGGTGCAACGATTCGCCCATCAGTGATTTCTAGATTCCTCAAAGCGTTGTTACTTCCTTTATTGTTCTCAACGATTGTACCGGTAAGTTGTAGTGAGCTTCAACACTCGGAACGTTAGAAAAAATACAAATTTTGATAGTTTTTTTCTTTCAGACGGATGAAACCAGTTTCGACAACTCCTCGATTACCATTGATCCCCTACTGAACAAGTGTTACGAGTGTCTTAGATGTCTCTCTATGTTATAATCATGCACTGCTTATCCCTTTTTGGGTTCTTCATCATCTTCTTGTCATTCTACCTACTCATCTTCGTTCCAACCAAGCTGAACAACTTCACCCGCTTCGTGATTCATGGACATGATTTGACGTGAGTTCTCAGTTTCAATCTTTCATCATTGTCTTTGAAGATCTGCCATAACTCAGATCTGTCTTACTTTGGGTACAACACCGTCTTTTCTGTTCCCATGCGCATCTGGTTACGTAAGTGGCTTCCTCTCCAATTTCGGAATTGAACCTTTGAGTCAAATCGGCATTCAAATAATTTTGATGACTAGTACGCAATCAAGTAGGGTACATTTGACGTTCATTCATTTCAGTTAGTAGAGCGTTTTCACTTCTTCTCAGTATCAATAGATTGTTCGCAATATGTTCAAGAATGGAGAAATACAAATATCTTATTATAAGCATATTCTTCTCGCAGCTGATTGTCCAACTCGCTCATTCGTTGTTTAATAGATTCAACGCGAAAGACGGTGGAGAAGAAGCACGGCAGGCTTGCCTTGAGGTTTGTATCTTCCTCATTCGTTAAAACAGTCATCTCAGAAACTACCATATGAATATCCAGAAGAAATGTATACCTTCCGAGGATTTGATGTGCTGGGCCAAAAAAGGAACGGTCTATTTCCCTCTTTTGTTTCTGGATTGACTGCTGTGATACACATGATCATTGCAATTGTCTGTGTTTCTATCCTCATTCAGAGCATCAGAAAGCAAGCGAAGTCATCACAGTCGACTCAGTTCTTAGCGAATCAACGTAGAATTACTTCCGGAATCGTCTGCTTTGTAAGATTCTCCTCATTCGCTGCTGACCAATGTACTGCAGGTGGTTGTGGAGATTGTTGGCTTGTGCTTTCCATTCATAACTATTAGTGGATGTTGTTATTTCAGTTTAGGAAATACGGGTAAAAGTTAAAATCGACACAGACTTTCAAATTCAAAAATCTCAGCGGTTTCTCACTATGCTTTCGTCTCCATGAGTATCTATCCCATATTTGGTCCATACTATGTTCTCATGTCCAACACGGATTACAGGAACAGAGTGAGAGGGATACTTAGGAAAGGTTGGTCCTTCAAGCTTACTCTATTGATCTGTACTTCTAGATCAAGCTAATACAAACCATTTTTCAGCGCAAGAAATAGGGTCACGTACATTGAGCATTTGAATATCTCTCTTCCTGA